GAAATTTTCTCTCATTATTTCTTTAAACGGGTTTTTTATTCTTGTTCAGCTTCCTCTCCTTCTGGTACCACTATTATGCATGTTTTGTTCCATTTCATGTTGTCCCAAAGTTCCCTTTGACTCTCCTCCTGCTTTTTAATTTTTTTTTCTGTTGATGCCTTGCTTGGGTGTTTTTTCTAATTTGTCTTCTAACTTGCTGATTCTGTCCTCAGCTTTTTCTAGTCTACTGGTGAAACATTTTATTGTATTCTTTATTGCAGCTATGTCATTCTTCATTTCCTCTTGATTCTTATGTTGGTGAATTTCTCATTCAGCTCCTTATAATTCTAGTTGAGTTGTGTGTATTTGTCATCCAGATATTAGAGCATCCTTATAACTATTACTCTAAATTCTTTCTTGACAAATTATTTGCCTCCATTTCATTTCATTCTTTTTCTGGTGAGTCCTCACTTTCTTTCATTTGGGGATTGTTCTTTGTCTCACCATTTTTGCTGTAATGTTTTAATTGTTTCTATATCTTAGATAAAATTTCTCTGCTATTCAGATTTTTTGGAAGGTGCTGCTATATAGTAGGTGCTACATGGGACCCAGTGGTACAGTTGCTCAGATCTCCTGAGCTGGGTGTTATAGGAAAGCCCCCTTCTTAAGTTATTTAGGTTCTTCTGATATAATTGGGTCTTGAATATTATTGTTCCATTCATGAATAGTCTCTTCACAGGTTGTCTGACTATGTGGCTCATCCTGACCTCATTGTGCAAGCTGTTGTGAATGTGCTTGGGGTCCAGTTCTTGTGGCAAGTGTTGCCTGAGGTCTTACTGGCATTCAACTCACTGGGATGTCTTTGAACCAGCGCCAACCCCTTCTTTGACATCTTTCTGTGATTTCCACAGAAACAATATACAATCTGTTCTTTTGGAGGCTGGCACCACCTCCAGTCCTGAAGGAGCACTAAGAGGCTAAGCTGAAGCATGCAGAAAGGGAAACCAGGGGTCCTGTACATACAGATGTGGACCGGGGTTTTGGGGAAAAGACACTTGGAAGCACAGACCAATGTGAGAGAAACTGTGTGTGCCTCAAACAGGGGCTGGAGATAGATATCTTTGAAGTTCTGAGAAAAGAACACAGAACCAGTCGGGGCAACATTCAACTGGGCTTGGTCCTTCTCATAGCCCCAGTGAAGTCCTGCAGCCCCTAAAGGATGGAATTATATAGGAAATTTGGTAATGTCATGCAGTGTTGTGTCTTGGATGGGATTCTGTGACAGAAAAAGGACATTAATGGGAAAACTGGTACATGACCCGACACAGTTGCTAAACTTATCAAAGCAAGAGGCCCCGGGGATGACAAACTGAAGAGCAGAAGGGCCTCCTTTGTCTTGCAACTTATCTCCAAGACTGGATTGTATGGGGTCTGTGGGAAGTCACACTCACACACCCACCCCTTTCTTCAGCTCCCTGTTGGACCCTTTCCCCATTCTACCCAGCAATTTCCACAACTGTCCTCCTGCCCAGAGCCACAAGTATGTTTCTGCTGTTCTCATTTGGAAAGACCAATTTTTTCATCCCATAGATGAAAATCAAATCATGGATCCTCTGGCATTCTCTCAACCCATTCCTTTCAGTAACTGCTACATTAACATTGTGATGGCTGCAAGCAAAACTGAGAAACACTTCAACTGATGTATCTCAGAACATATCTGATACCTACTCAAAAACACTTTACAGCAAAAGTGGGGAAACAAAACAAACATATAAATGAATGTCCATACTCTGTCTCTCCGCCCACACCACCACAGGGGACACTAGGATGTGTCTACCTCCCTCTCCTACTGGCCTGAGCATTGGACCAGATAGCCTCGTTTGGCCACTCCTTCTGGACCCCAAGTGGCTCATCAATGAGGTCAAACCATCAGGTCAAGTCTGTGTGATACCCGCCAATACCCCATGTCTCCTGGCTAGTTCATCTGCATATCATTGATCCCAAACCTGGGTCAAGGGACTGTGGGTAGCCTTCACATGCTCTTTTGAGCATAGTACAGAGACTGAGAAGACAAGTATGTGGAACGAAGAGGAGCAGGAACCAGAAGCTATTGGGAAAAGCAAGGGTTGCCTGTGGTCCAAACAGCCCCTCAACAGGTCACAGACGGAAGGACTGCATCAGAGTTTAAGGAAAATCTACAACTTAATCAGATGAATCCTTTCAGGGCTGACAACCTCCTTTGTGATTTGCCACATTATCCTCTCTGGGAAGTTCACTATCTGGGACATTCACATTTTCAGCCCTCCTCTTAACGTCCTCATCTTGTAACAATAGAATCTGCACAGTTGCTGGAGCTGACACTCTAGGCTCCCATGTCACTATCCCAGGTCACCCGAGGATTCAATCCTACCTCCAGGATGATTTCCACACTCACTTACCAGCCCCCACAACTGGCTCTGCTTCCAGATCTGTCTCTTCCATTGTCAGAAGGAACTTTTTGAAATCCTGATGACCACTCCACTCACAACCTAGACCATTTAGGCTCTCCATTGCTTTACATAAGGTCTACTAATATGGCCCCCAGGGGTCTTCACCACTATCTGGGTCTGACCTCACTCCAGTCTCCCTTTTTTAGGCCCCAGGGAACCACTTCCCTTTTCCAAGGTGCCCAGAACTCTTTCCTGCTCTGCTCCCTCAGCCAGGGGGGCTGTCTTACTTAGACCCAACTCAAGGTTGCCACTGGGGCCTTCCAGGGCACACCTAGGGACAGGCAGTTGTGATCTCCTGTGTACTCGTATATGACCCTCTGGAGCACTGTCCTATTTTACTGTAACACTTGGTTTTCTTACAATAAACTTCTGAAAGGCAATGTCCATGTGTGAGATGCCTGGTACATCACAGCTGCTCAGTGGATGTTATTGCATTATAAATGTGTGTGTGGGGGTGAAAAGGAGAAGAAATTAAAAAGTACAAGTTTCCAATTATAAAAATAGTTACAGGGATATAAAATACAACAGAGGGAATATAAGTCAATAATATTGTAATAACTATGTATAATGTCAGGTGGGTATTAGAATTACCAGGAGGACTGCTTTAAAAGTTATATAAATGTCTAAAAACTATGTTGCACACCAGAAATTAATAATATTGTATGTCAGCTATAATTAATTTTAAACGAATAAAATTAAGTAAATGCATGTGATGGGTGAGTGATATGTACACTTAGCTGGAAATATCACTTCCACATGGTTCCCAATTGGGGACGCTGGTTCCAGCACCATCATAACCTTGGCTCCAAGGAACACATCTCCTATTGGATGAAGCTGGGAAGCTGGTCATCAAAAGATAAAGGATCATTTGGGCTGGGAGCTGTCAGGGGCCCCACAGAGGCATCCAGTGATCAAAGTTATTGTGACTTGCTGGCCCTACGGGGTGGAGGGATTTTTGTGCTCTATTTCCCAGAGTATTTGGAGAGCTAGTGCTATGAATAGACTCCAAGACAACGAAGATAATGAGACATTGAGTGAAGTTAAACAGGTATCTTTACTATAGAACTTGGAATCCTTAATTTCTTACAAATGTGAGTGTCCAAGGGCAGGTAGTCCATGGAGTTTCCCAAATACAGATAACTTCAGAGCCACAGGGCACTGTGGAACATATTTTGGAAATACTGGTCCAAATAGGTGAATTTTTACTGAATAAAAGACAAAGAACTCAGAATGAAATATTTGCCTCTTATTCATCACAGTCACTCTAAAACGTCAATCACAGGGTCAAACACTGTCTTTCTCATTAAGAAGAAAAGATGCCTGTATGGAATTCAAAAAAATTACTATTCAGAACTAGAGGCCTGGTGCACGAAATTCGTGCATTGGGGTTGGGGGTGGGTCCCTCAGCTGGCCTTCACCCTCTCCAATCTGGGACCTCTCGAAGGATGTCCAACTACCTCTTTCAATCTGGGCTCCTAACCACTCTCCTGCCTGACTCATCGCCCCTGACCACTTTTGCCTGCCTGCCTGATTGCCCCTAACTGCTCCCATGCTGGCCTGATCATCCCTAACTGCCTCTGCTTCACCCCGCACCCAGAACCCGGGCTTCTCTCCCTTTGGCTGGCCACAGGCACCCAGGATCCAGGGCAGCTTCACTTGGTTCAGCCTCAGCCTAAGGGGACCATAGGTGGGCGGCTTGTCCTTCTCCTGGGCCATAGCCTGGCTGGTTCCCATTCCTCTCTTGCGAGCTCATTTGTGCCTGGCTGGTCCCCATTATTTCTCCCCAGTGTTGAATGTCTGAGCAGTTATGGAGTGATGGTGTGAGGACATGAGGGCATGACAACCATTTGCATATTAGCTCTTTATTATATAGGATAAGCATTGGCAAATGAAGGTAGTTAGTTGTCTCAAAAAATGAAGGGCCACAGAGTACTCAGAAAGAGATTAGAAATAATTATAAAAATTTTTGCTACAGATTAAAATTATTTGAAACTACAGTCATTGGCTATAAAATGTAGGATGCATAATCACACTTACTAGTAAAACTAAGAAGTGAAAATCTTGAGATACTGGCTTGCCCAGATGGCAGGAAATCAATAGCCCTCAGAACCCAGCTGCTGCTTTGACACCCATGTTGTAAATGACTAGATAACTGTTAACAGAGATCAAGCTCAAGACTTGATGCTAAGTATGGTACTTCTGTAGCTGCTACTGTTTCAAGAGATATGATTAAGTCCTTATAATTCCACCAGCTAGGACTGTCAGTGAGGGGAGTGACAGCATTATAAAAAACGTCACAGGCCCTGGCCAGTGTGGCTCTGTTTGCTGGGCATCATCTCATGCACCAAACAGTTGCTGGTTCAATTCCCAGTCAGGGAACATGCCTGAAATGTGGGCTTGATCTTCGGTAGGGGATGTGCAGGAGGCAGCTGATTGATGTTTTGATCTCACATGGATGTTTCTCTTTCTATCTCCCTCTCCCTTCCTCTCTTTCTAAAAATCAATTTTAAAATCTTAAAAACAGAAAATCTTTCACTGGGAGGGCATCTGACTTTTCAGTTTGGCAATGCTCATGAGGCATTGGTCCCGCCACTGCCTTCTGGCAGCCAAGTGCTCAGGATCATCTGGGACTTTCACACACATGGCCTGGGAACAAAGAAGAGAAAAGATAAGAAAAAGAAAAAGAAGAAAAAAAGAATGGAATTACATCAAACTTAAAAGTTTTTGTACATCAAAAGAAACTATCAATAGAACAAAAAGACAACCTATCGTGTTTCCCCGAAAATAAGACATCCTCCATATATAAAACCTACTTACAGGTTTCCTTCTGAGTGAAATATAAACCATCCCCCTGAAAATAAGGCCCCACCGAGGCTCTGTCTCTAAACATGATTTGGTCCACTGATTCTGAAAGAAATGGAGTCACAAGAAATTCACCAGGAAATTCAGGAATTGGATTGTTATGATGATGTTCCAGAAGATGATGACATGATTGTCATTGAATAAATGAGTAAATTCTTGATACTGTAGGATTCAATTTGTCTAGTTTGTGTTGACAACTACTGTACTACCGTACCATATACAGGTAATAAATTTCCTTTATTTTCATTTAACAATAAATGTGTACCGTATTCTTCTTCATGGAAAAATAAGGCATCCCCTGAAAATAAGACCTAGCACATGTTTGGGAGCAAAAATTAATATAAGACACTGTCTTATTTTCGGGGAAACAGGGTACTATATTTGCCAGTGATACATCTAATAAGGAGTTAATATCCAAAATATATAAAGAACTCATACAACATACAAAAAAAATCAAATTAAAATATGGGCAGGGGACCTAAATAGACATTTCTCCAGGGAAGACATACAGATGACCAACAGACATATGAAAAGCTGCTCAGCATCACTAATCATTAGTGAAATGCAAATTAAAACCACACCTGTCAGAATGCCTATCGTTAATAAATCAACAAACATGTGTTGGCAAGGATGTGGAGAAAAAGGAACCCTGATGCACTATTGGTGGGACCGCAAACTGGTGCAGTTACTATGAAAATCAGCAGAGGTTCCTCAAAAAATTGAAAATTGAACTACCATATGACCCAGCAATTCCACTTCTGGGTATTTATCTGGAGAAATCAAAGCACTAATTAAAAAAATATTCTTATGTCTATTGAAATATTATTAAAACAGTCAAGTAAGAAAGCAACCTAAGTGCCCATCAATAGACAAATGGGTAAAGAAGAGATGGTACATACATATACAATAGAATACTACTCAACCATAACAAAGAATGAAATTTTACCCATTTGAGACAATGTGGATGGATTTAGAGGTTATTATGCTAAATGAAATAAGTCAGACAGAGAAAGACAAATACCATATGATTTCAATTACTAGTACATATGGAATCTAAAAAACAAAATAATAATAAGAAAAAAACAAACACAAAAACCCAAACTCACAGATACAGAGAACAAACTAATGGTTGCCAGATGGTAGGGGGACTTGGGAGGATGGGTGAAAATCATTAAGGGATAAGAAGTTCATGCCTGGCCCTAACCGGTTTGGCTCAGTGGTAGAGCATCAGCTTGTGGACTCAAGGGTCCCAAGTTCGATTCCAGTTAAGGGCATGTACCTTAGTTGTGGGCACATCCCCAGTAGGGGGTGTACAGGAGGCAGCTGATTGATATTTCTAACTCTCTCTCCCTCTCCCTTTCTCTTCCTCTCTGTAAAAAAATCAATAAAATATATATTTTTTAAAAAGAAGTTCATGCCTGGCCCAGCTGGCATGGTTCAATGGTTGAATGTTGACCTATGAACTAGAGGTCACAGTTCAATTCCCTGTCAGGGCACATACTCAGGTTGCGGGCTCAATCCCCAGTGGAGGATGCAGGAGGCAGCCAATCAATGATTCTCTCTCATCATTTATGTTTCAATCTCTCTCTCCCTCTCCCTTCCTTTTCTGAAATTAATAAAAATATGCTTTAAAAAAAAAAAAAAAAAGCACATGCCCTGGCCAGTGGAAGTGTTATCCCATACACCATAAGATCTCAGGTTCAATTCCCAGCCACGGCACATACCTAGGTTTTTGGGTATAAGAGGTACAAAATTAATCAATGTTTCTCTAACACTGTTTATCTCTTCCTCTCTCTTTCTCCCTCCCTGTTCCTCTCTCAGTAAAATCTGTAAATATCTGCCTGGGTATGATTTTTTTTAAAGTACAAATTAGCAGTTATACAATAGTCACAGGGATGTGAGGTACAGCATAGGGGAGATAGTCAATGATAGAATAACTGTGTATAGTGTCAGGTGGCTAAGGGGGATCACTTTGCAAATTATATGTCTAACACCAGTGGTTCTCAACCTTTTTCTGGCCAAGCCCAACTTAAGCATCTCTAAAATGCTGATGCCCGCTCTGTGACATATAATTCTCATTATTAAAAAAGTGAACATATATTCACGGGAAGGAAGCCCAAAGGCCATTAACTTGGCCTAAACAAGCTTCCAAGGAACATGGCATCCATTAAAGAGAAAAATAAAAGAATGAAAGGACAGTTGAAGTACTGAGGAAGAAATCACTAAGAAATTGTTAAAATAATAATAATATGAAGTGATATGAAAAAATAGCAAGTAAAGTTCCAAAACATGTAATAAAGAACTGAAATGCATAAATATGTCACAATATACATTTGTATACTGTATATGAGATCCTTAGAACCATAAGAAATGAAAAAAATTCACTGTTAGTAACTCATTCTTGAATTGCTCTTGTTAAAAATCAAATTGCCCCCCTGTGGGGCAGTGCCCCACGTTGGGAACCACTGGTCTAACCACTATGCTTTATACCTAAAACTAATATAAAATAACTGAAATCAACTGTAAATGAACAAAATTTTTAAATAAAAAAAGAACAAAAGTGCATGAAGAGGAGGTAATTTACCAGGAGCGTAATTGTTGGGCTACTGTGCAAATGGAATTTGATCTCAAGGACGAAGGGAGCTGAGTAAACGCTCCAGGAGCATGAGTTTCCTGAACCTAGAGACTCCAGCTCCTTAAAGTTAAGTCACAGTGACCTCCAAGTTCATTGGCCACACTGCACTGAAGGTCTCCAAGGACCATGAGACAGAAGTTAGAGATGAGGGACTGTGAAAACCAGAAACAAAGATACTAACTGCACAATAGACATCCCTGTCCACAGTGCTCCCTCCAGCTCAGCCTGCACAACTCCCTGCAGTCAGTCCACGTACCTGGTGAATCTTCTCAACTGTAGCTCCTGAAAACTCTGGAATCGGTCCGAAGGTCTTGAGGACATGTTTCATGCTTTCGCCATATCTGTTACAGTAGCTTAACATGCCTGAAACCATAGGAACACAAGAATCCTCAAAATCAGAACATCAGAGAATTCCCAACTAAGACATCGATTCAGAGAGTCTTGCCTTAGGTCAGATTAACTACATTCCTTTAGTCTGTGAGTGAAGAAAAGGAGGAGGTGGTCAGTGCACCTGGTTAGCTGGCGCTGGGGACTAAGGGTCCTCACCACAAGTCAGTCACTTGTCAAGCTTTCTCTCCGATCTCAGAATCCTGAAAAGCAAGGAGCTCCTGGGGCCTGCCATTCTACCTCCCTCAGTGCACTTCAGCCTGTGTTCCTGCATTGATTTATTGATTAACCTATTAAGTCTTATTTTCACCAAAAATGTTATGAGGTTACTTGTGTAAATGGCTTGAATGAATTTTCTAAGAACCAGAGGTCACTTAAATCTATTTCCCATTTTAACTTGTTCCCTGACTTCTAGTTACCACTTGGTTGGGTGTCTACAAGGCAGCAGATTCTTTAATGCAGGCTCAGAGTGTGGCCAGTGGATAACAGCCCTGCACCCAGGCCCAGGGTGCCTCTGTACCCCGGCTGCACTGCTCTCCAACTGCTTCCGCACTTCCTGATCCTGGGGAACCCAACCACTTTCTCAGACGCTGAGATAAGGGTCCTGGGATTCTGATGCAGAAACCCATGAAGTAGAGGCTCGTCCGCATGGGACAGAGGAAGCGGCACAGTAATTTAGAAGCAGCTTTGGGATGTGTGTGGCTGAAGCTAAGCTCTTCAGTAAGAGTCAGACATGCAGAGAGGAAAGCAGAGTCCAGCGGCCTCGCCTCCCAGCATGTGGAACCGGCCTGCTGGAACCTGTCTGTGCCTGGCATCCCTCCCCTCACTGCCTGGGAGGCAGCAGGGCTTGGCCAGTGCAGGCGTGCGCAGGGGTCAAGTCCAATCTGAAGCTGCCCCTGGGTATGCATAGAAGAGACATCTCCGAGTCCTGGGCCCACTTGGGACGTGGCTGAGCCACCCGCTGTGCCACCCTTGGCCTACTTCCAACATCTTTCACAACCAGAAACACTCAGAGGTTGGGCAGCCAGGTAAAAGATAATACAGAATTTAAAATGAATAACAGAATTTGCAAAGATTCCTGGCCTTGGTTCTTATCCACCCACAGAAAAAGTTTTAATTAACCCTATATAATAAAATCCTAATTTGCTAAGTGTCTGGTCATCCATTCAACCAATCAAAGCATAATATGCTAATGAATGCTAAGGCCACTCAACCACTCACTATGACCACCAGGGGGCTGAAGCTCTGACCGGTTGGTTAATTTGCTGCTGGGGTCTGGCCGATCCGGACTGAGCTAGATGGGCTGGACATGCCCTGGAGCCCTCCTGCAATCCCTCACCTGCTGGCCAACCTCCCATGTCCCATCCCAGCCCCAATTGTGCACTGGTTGGATAACTCAGCCTGGCCTGTGCCTTCTTGCAATCCGGGACCCCTCAAGGGATGTTGGAGAGCCAGTTTTGGCCCAATCCCGCAGGCCAGGCTGAGGGATCCCACTGGTGTGTGAATTTGTGCACTGAGCCTCTAGTTTTAAATAAAAATCATCACCACAAGACACTCTTTAAAAAGAGAGAGAGAGAGAGAAAGAAAGAGAGAGAGAGACGAACTTCTTTGGGGTTTAGTTTTGGTGGACCCACACTATTGTGAAAGCCTGAATTCACTGAGTTTCAATTTTATTTGCCTCAATTAGATTTCCTTCTCCTTCAGTGCGCTAAAATTATATCAAAATAGCTTTCAGAAGAGAAATTGTTTTGAAGGATAAAATATTCAAATATAATAACTTTTCTGACATTAGCACCTACAATTAAGTGCTGGACACTCCTTTTTAAAATAAGGGTTTCATTTTATTTAACACAAGTATAACCTGGCAATTAAGGATTCCAGAAGACTTCCTAAAGCAGGGGTGGGAACATCCGGCCCTTGGGCAGTGTAAGGCCTATGAAATCATTTGGTCTGGCCTTGCCAAGGCATTAGGAGTGTGCTGATTAAATGTTTGATCAAATATAGCAGGCTAATTTTTAAGTTATTAATTTTGTATGGCCTGAGAATGATGTTATAAATATCCAAATGGCCCCTAGCAGGAAAAAGGTTCCCCACCCCTGCAAAGGTCCCAGCACAGCTAGCTGTCCCAGAGGACTCAGCATTTCCAGAACTCAGAAGACCGCCATTACATTTATTTCCCTTGGAAGTTAAATCTTCTCTTCACTTTAGTGTTTATTTACTCAAACCAAAGGTGGTAAAATCTAGACACAAATACAGTTACTCCTTTGGGGGGGAGGGGAGCAGGGCAGGGACATAAGAGTCAAATGAGCTGGAAAGATATTAAATGAGAAGAAAATGAGAGGACTGGCTGCAGCTGAGATTCACCCACGTGCAGGGAAACAGAGTCCAGCAGTGCCCTCCTGTGAACCAATTCCATCTCCCTGTCCTCCTGGAGTAGCAAAAAGCCAAGGATGCAATTCAAGAACTGTATTTCATCTCTGGATTACTTCTCATTTTCTGAACAAGCATTCATCTTTCTATGTCCCTGTGAAGTTATCTGAATCTCCCAGGGGCTTCTGAGAACTCTTTTTCTCTGCCTTTTATAAAATTTGTGGCTTTAAAGGAGCATTTATTTATTTAAGACTAGAGGCCCAGTGCCTGAAATTCGTGTGTGTGTGTGTGTGTGTGTGTGTGTGTGTGTGTGTGTGCCCAGCCTGCACCCTCTCCAACCTGGAACCCCTCGAGGGATATCCAACTGCCTGTTTAAACTGGCAGTTGGGCATTTTTCTCACAATCCAGAACTGCTGGCTCCCAACCACTCACCTGCCTGCCTGCCTGACTGCCCCTAACTGCTTCTGCCTGCCAGCCTGATTGATGCCTAACTGCTCCCCTGCCAGTCCGATTGCCCCTAACTACCCTCCCGTGCCAGCCTGGTCACCCCCAACTGCCCTCCCCTGCTGGCCTGATCACCCACAAGTGCCCTCCCCTGCTGGTCATCTTGTGTCCACATGGGGATGCCCATCTTGTGTGTTGGAGTGATGGTCAATTTGCATGCTACCTCTTTATTATATAGGTTAGAAAATACAGTAAAATTCTTTATAATACAATTAATAATTTACCCACAACTTTTCTAAGAAACCAATATGAAACTTCAGGCTTACAAATATAAAAACTCTCTCTATAGCATGTATTCAGGCTCATGGGGTGAGCAGGCCCGAGTCTGTGGAGACGGTTAGAGACCACACAGCCAGCATGTGCAGACCTCCACTTCATGGATATAGCACCTGACACCGCGGGACAGCTCTCCCACTAGCTCAAAGTACAAGTTTATGGTGACTTAGTGTCAAAATTATTTACAGTGTCCAGCAAATTCATTCCCTTACTCTTCTTTGCAACATCTTCCCTTCCAATAGAGCAGTATGAACAGGAATGTTCCAGAGTACCAACTTCAATGGAAATGAAAAGAAAAAGCCACTTCACCTTCTATCCCACAGCCAGTCCCTCCTCAGTATTCTCCAGAGTGAGCCTCCCTATGTTTTCCCTACTGTGCTTCCATGTCCTCTATTCTGGTCAACCAAGTACTTCCAACAGCTCTCAGAGAGCTTAGCTTTTTAGAAGACTTTGAACCTAATTTCTTAAGAAGTGGGAGAATGAATTGATTGTCATAAGTTTGGATTTAGCTTCTCTTGCTGTTTTTGGACTTGTTATTCCTTGGCTGTGAGCCCTGAAGGTGGGACACAACACAAGGTAATGGAGCAGTGGAGAGCCACCCCATATGTCTGCATTTACGGAGCAGGCACTCTGTCTGTGTGGCCTCTGTCAGGGTGGAGGCAGCGGCTGGGACACACCCTGGGTGTCCATTCTTGGAGAACCTAATTGCTACGCCACCAGAGAAGTGTGCTTTTCCCATAGCCTATTAACTCACACGCACATGAATTTGCCTGCCTTTAAATCAGAGAAGACCAAACAGACCCCAAAGCCCAGGGACATTAATTCCCACCTGAGCGAGACCTTACTGGAGCAGGTGGACAGAAACTGCCAGGAACAGCCCTATCAGCTCACCTGTTTCACTGCAAATGACAGCTCCACTCAAATGAACCAGAGGCATCTCAATTTAAGATAAGCAAACAAACAAGGACAAGCATCTAACTAAGGGAAATTTTGAGGGGCAGGATGGTGAACATTCATCTCAGCTGAAGGTGATGTCCAGGGGCTGCCAGGTTCCCAGGCACCAGAAGGCTGCTAGGTGCCTGAGGGACCAGCCTTTGCTGACCTGCCAGTCTAAAAGCTTAGCATAGAAACAAACTAAAGTCTTCAGAGTTCACAGCAAACATACCCTAATCTGTATGTGTTCTGTATCTCTCTCATGCACTTGTGAATCTTGGGGAGAATTTTTTTTAAACTGGAAGAATAGGGAATTAAACAAAACTTTGTGTGAATATATCATTTATTATGGACTTCATGAGGCTGTTACTGTTGTTGCTCCATTTTACAGATGGGCATACTGAGGTGCACAGGGTTATTTAGCTTATAGGTCAACTAAAGATCCAGGCTGACTGGCTCCACAGACCAGATCTACTCTTCTGAGAGCTTGTCATTCATGCATGTCACTTTTTAAAAGTAGCCAAAGGCGAAGGAAGCCTTTTTTTTTCAGCTGTCATTTTATAAGATTAAAAACAAATCATCAAATATTTTTACCCCTTCTAGATAAACTCTAGCTTTTAAGACTAATAACTAGCCTTAACCTGAGATACTGGCTTTTTGAAGACAACATTAGAAAAAAGAACTCTCCCAATTCCAATCTTGATATATCCTGGGTGACACTGAGGAATCATAATAATTTCCACTGGTTCTGAGCCTGATCTTGTAACTGTCCAACTCTGGTCCTTAGAATGCTCTGAAGTTGAAAACTACATCCGTCCACCATTATCATATTAAACCAATTAGGTTTTCTTATCAAATCTGCTCTGTGTGAGAAATTGTTATGGGCTCCGTCCTATCTGCCATGCTATTTGACTCCCGAGTTTCTGGTTTCATTGGCTTCAGTTTCTACTTGTTTGAGAGTCAAAGCAGTTCTCGGGTCTCTCCTATCAGTTTCTCCTGATACTGGAATTATCTTATTTTTCTCAAGAAAAAGAAAAACACAGTGGTCATCTGGTAATGTACATACATTTCAAATGTTTCAATATGTTCATCACATTTAAGGTTCTGGTTTACAAAAAAATTATACTTCAAAACTGGTTTCACTTTAATAGAGCCTGTGTCTTTACATTGCCCTCCTATGTTCAGCTGTTATTCCACCACACAAGTGACATGCGGGTGCCGGTGAGTGTCCCCCTTTCTTCAGCTGCTCGCAGCTGGGTGTTAAGGAAGAACCAAGTCACTTACTGAACCACGTTTTCATGACACCCTGCCAACCCATCCAAGGACCCAGGTGTGTATCTGTTGTGTGCAACACATCTGGTAAAACTGCTTGGGATTATCCACTGGAAATTGTATTTAATAAATTACTGTTGCAAAAATCAGTTGAAGTATGACCTCGTGGAATTATAAAGTCTACGCAGATTCTCCAGAGGTCATCTGCTCCAACTTCCGACCTCACTGCGAGACTCCTGTCAACATTGGAAGATCCACACAGGTGAGGACAGCCTTCCGTGGTGAGGCTCACTCACCCACAGCATGGCCTCTCCTTCCTAATCAGTTCCACTTACTAGAAAGTTCTCCCTGCCATGTTCTGACCCCAAACCTGTCTTCCTGACATTTCCAGTCTTTCATTCTGGTTCCATCCCCACAAAAGTCATGGACAAATACACACACACACACACACACACACACACACACACACACGATCAGCTTCAGTTTCTCGATATTTTTGTTAAATGTAGACCATGGATCTGAATAAAATATTCTTTTTCTTTTTCTGCATATGTTTTACAAGTTAATGATATAAATTTTAAAAATAACATACCATAATTATTGAAATTACAAATAGAAAAGGAAAAAGGTAATAAAAGTTACTTACAATTTAAACTCCAAGAGACAGCCATCATTCTATTTAGTTGACATTTCCCCAGATTTTCTGATTCATTGTTTTTAATTTGGTGTAGGTTTTATTGTTTTTCAAATGATGTCTTATTTTTAAATGGCTTAAAATCTGGTAGACAGTTTCATTCTTGGAAGCTTCTCACTCATCTCAAGTGACCTTGCTTTTAGAGTCACCAGTCATACCTACCTCTCCACACCCTTTGAGGTGGTTTCCAGGATAACTAATGGCCTAGCCAGGCCACCAACCAAGCCCCTTTACCTGTAGATACCCCTCCCTCATGCCCCAGATTTTGGGAAGAAGCCTACAGATGAGCAAGTCACAATTGCAAACTGCTCATTTTAGGCAGAAGGTAAGTCCAACAGAGGTCCTTGTGGTTATTTTCCTATTTTTTTTTCCTTGCTTCTAAATAATTTCATTATCTTCCTCAGGAAAATACCACTTTCTCTTCTGTCAGACTGGATGACATGCAACAAAATCTCCATAACATTGCTCACCTCTCCTTCCAGTCCTCACCGAGTGCTGTTCTCCACAGATCCCTGAGCTCCATGGGACACAGCGACTGCCCTCCTCCTACCTGTGAATGAGCAGGGCTAGCCACTGTCTCTACATAATACCGTTTCTATTCAGTTGTAAGAAAAGACAACCTTTGATTATTTACCAAACCCATGAAAACACTACACTGCAGAAAATTCCCGTCTGAGCCCCTACCTTCTGCATTGAGATGCATGGTTTCCAGGGGTCCGATGAATGCATACCGGAGGCCTAGGCCATGAGACATGACGAGGTCCAAGTCGTTCGGAGACACTATTCCTTCCTAAATGAGGAAAGAAGGTGGTTCGTGGGTGAGTCTCAGGAAAGACCATTCTCTTACCATCACTTTTATCCTAACTTGGGCAGGATCCCCAAATACTCTCCAAGCACTGTAAGTGTTTTCATAGAATTTTGCATGATGAAACTATAATGTCAGAACAGATCCTGAAAAGAGACTATTTGTGAAATGTCAAATACCAACTCACTTTTCCCACAGCTGTAATCAACCTTCTCCTGTACTGCGCCTAATTCCACTGTCTTCTCTTCTCCACCCATAACCTATGTGTCACTTGCAGCTCTGTCAAACGGGGAGAGAATGAAGGGAAAGGGAAAAAGTAAAGAGGGTGCTGGTAGAAAAGGGCAAGAAGGATTTTCTACACGTTTGTTAAGAACTGGAGCTGTAAGACTAGAGCCATCAAAAGAACTGTGAACTTGCTCTCTAGACTGTGCCTGCCTGCAAGCCTGGCCTTGTTTAGCTTTTAATGAGTTTGTAAAGAATGTTATTCTTTGATGAAATGCAGCTTAGAACAGGGTGTTTGTTTGCAAAGGTGGAGCCCTAGAATCTTTTGCAAATGTGAATTGCAAAGCAAGAGGCACTTCTTAGGCTTTTAGGTTGTATGTCAAATTGCCCAGCGGTGTGCCCTGGTCTGTTCCTCACATCCTCTGGAAGGAGCAGGGATGCATCAGAAACATTTGTATCATCAGGCCATTCACTGACAGCTCAGTCTCCATCTGAAGATATTTTCACCTTGACCATTTCAGCTGTCAGGAAGACAGACGGGGGAGGCTGTCATGTGTTCCACAAATCTTCACTGGTCAGAACAGAAGAATGACTCTGAAACCTTCAGCCCCTATCTCCTGGGTGTTTTCTTTCACAAATAAGAGGACTGTGGGCACAGACACAGCTCCTGCCTGGCAGCAATGCCACACTGCCTCTCTAAGAGGCCACTCACGGTGCCGTAGTTCTGATACCTCTTCCACAGGCAACCCTCCGCTGGCGGTCCCAGGGGAGGAGGATGAAGGGCTTGGTGGCGGAAAAGTCAGGGCACACCCACTCAAAGTGTCCATCCAGCTCCTGAGAACAGGTTCAGACATCGCCACCACCTCCCCATACCCCCCCCCCCACACACACACACACACACACACGGCCTGTTATTCTGGGTTACAGTGCAAAGCCTTTGCCTCTCCTTGAAGGGCTGCCAGCTGTCTGGTTGGAGAGGGCATCTGGGGAGGGGCAGGGGTTTACCACAGGTTCAGCATGGCTCCAGGGCCAACAGGGAGGAGCCTCCAGACTCTGGGGAGCCTGGGCCAGGAACTGCTGTCCCTCCTCCTCCAAACCAGGTGACGTCTCACATCCCAGACTTCAAAGTCATCCAAGAGGTAGAAAGGGAATTTGTACTTTAACCTCTATGACCTGCAGCCCAGCTGCTGATGGAGAAATACCAGTGGTCTCAGGTCTATGTAGGTGTCTGGACCTCCTGGGGGAAGGATGGGGGAAGCTGGAGCTGAAGAACCAAGAAGACAGAACCATCCACAAGGGGCAAGCGTGGTTTAGTGTGAGGAGAAACTTCGTTTGTGTGAACCATTCTCCATCTAGTTTTGTGTGTGAGAGAGATAAACAAAGACATGCCCAAAACATGACTACACTATACAGAGAATAATTAATTACAAAGCAATCCCTCTAACCACCACCGGTGCCCACCTTCCAGATCATAACCTTCCCAATAGCAAACATCTGACTTTTGTAATAACCATTTCTTTTAAAATTTGCCATCTTGCCAAAACCAGTTTGGCTCAGTGGATAGAGCGTCAGCCTGCGGACTAAAGAATCCCGGGTTCGACTCCGGTCAAGGGCATGTACCTTGGTTGCAGGCACATCCCCAGTAGGGGGTGTGCAAGAGGAAGCTGATCCATGACTCTCATCGATGTTTCTAACTTTCTATCTCTCTCCCTTTCTCTCTGTAAAAAATAAATAAAAATATATTTAAAAAAATAAAAAATAAAAAAATAAAAAATAAAAAATAAAATTTGCCATCTATGTTTACATTCATAAATAATAAAGTGTGCTTTTTATCTATTTTCATCTTCTTCAAAATAGATAACATTTTTTTGTAATATCAATGTAAAAAACATTCAAATCTATAGAGAATTTTTGTGAGTTTATCTGAGCCAAATTGTCGACAATTGTCAGGAAGCAAAATTTCAATGGATTGGGATAATGCTCCAGAGGATGGCAGTTTTGCACCTTATTTAATACATTACAAAAAGAAGACACAGTGGGTTACAGTAAATCTGCTGATGATAGATTAGGGAGGCAGGAGAAAGTTACAATTAACAATTAACATGATAACAATAACAAAGAGAGGATTTATGGCCCTAACTGGTTTGGCTCAGTGGCTAGAGCATCAAGCGAGGACTGAAGGGTCCTGGGTTCTATTCCAGTCAAGGGCATGTACCTTGGTTGCAGGCTTGATCCCCAATAGGGGGAATGCGGAAGACAGCTGATCGATGTTTCTCATTGATGGTTCTAATTCTCTATCCCTCTCCCTTCCTCTCTATGAGGAAAAAAAATTTATATATATATATATATATATATATATATATATATATATATATATATATATATAGTTGTCTCCCATTGGTTATGTCTCCCAAGGGGTCTGATAAAAGGAAATTACCCTGACATTCCAAAGTACTAAGTGCAATTATATAAGAGCAGTCATATAATTTTTAGTTAAGATAAAGATTGACTTTTGTCAGGGAAGATACCAACCACATTTGCATTATTGAAGTAGATTTCTCTACATATCCATTTTTATCCAGAAATTAAATCCATAGGTAAAAAACAACAACAACAAACAGTTTAAAAACAGTTCAGCTGAGATGCCAACTCATTAGGATTTCACCTCATGAGATAAATAGTCATTTCTGCTGCACTCAGCACTGAATGAAAGGTTCACAGTTAAGATTTTTTTTGGGGGGGAGGGAGTGTTAATCTTCACACAAGGACATGCTTGGAAAGAGGATGGGAGAGACAGAGAGACAGGTACATTGATGTGAGAGAGAAACATCAATTGTCTTCTGTATGCTCCCTGATTGGGGATCAAACCCACAACGTAGGTATGTGCCCTGACTGGCAATTGAACCAGGAACCTTTTGGTGCACAGATTCTGCTCAACCAACTGAGCCACTCTGGCCAGGCTGGTTAGCATGTTTTGAAGCTCAAGTTGCTTAATTTTGTTGTTGAGCTTCATTCCTCTGAAGCAGAGCAGAATTTGCCACCCCAAAATATGCCTTTTGGGATATTGATGGTTTCAAGCTGGTTATTTTTAAGAAACAGGAGACTCAGAAACTTTGATCCTCCTCCTTTACCTGCCAAAAGGAATTCAGATAGGAAAACCTGCTTTAAGAAGGAAACCTAACATATTCACCTCAACTTGAAAATTAGGCCAGTAGATGTGAAATAAGTGTCAGAGAGGATACAAACCATCAGACTTCCCTCCTATGCTCCATGGTTTCTGGGTAGTCCAGCAAGAATTTGTTGAGCACAAGTTTGCACTTTCTCATCTACTTATGAGTTGCCTGCTTCTCCTTTGGAGTCCCAGACCCCTGCCTCCCTCTCCTTGGTTCAGAATGGCATATAAACCTAATTGCCCAGTGAGTCTTCAAGTCCCATATTCTTGTGGAACCCATGTAATTAATATCCATAATAAATTTGATCATTTTTCTCCTATTAACCTGTCTCATGTTGATTTGATTACTAGGTTAGCCAGAAGAATTTTAAAAGGTGGGAGGAAAATTACTTTTCTATTCCAACATACCCAGAGCCTTAATGTTATTTGTGGCCTAAGTGTTAATACTATCAGGATTAATTACAATAAATAATAATCATCCTATATAATAAAAGGCTAATATGCAAACCAACAAAACAGTGGAATGACCGGTCGCTATGACGTGCACTGACCACCAGGGGGCAGATGCTCAATGCAGGAGCTGCCCCTGGGTGGTCAGTGAGTTCCCACAGGGGGAGCACTGCTCAGCCAGAAGCCGGGCTCATGACTGGCTAGTACAGGACGGTCACGGGAGCCTCTCCTGTCTCTGAGGCAGTGCTAAGGATGTCCACCTGAATTCTTTTCTTCACTCATCCTCAGCTTTTGATCTATTTTGTTTCACTCTACTTTTTGCCACATTTGGTCCTGAATTTTCAAGTTTTTCTGTGCAAATACTGCTGTAACTTTGCCACTGCTGTCACCACCAAGAACACAGACTTGCTACCCTAGGGCTTTGCTACCTAGGTCATGTACAAGTCCTTCCACCCCTTCCCAACCAGATGCACTGTCTTAGCTGGGAAACAAGCCAGACAAAGCTTAGGTAAATGTTAGATAATGAAATGCAACATTGCAAGGCATGAAGCAGGCCGTGGACTTGTTCAGTGTCACTACAATCAGAGGCTAAGTCATCAGTAGGACATCCCTCGAGGGCTCCCAGACTGCAAGAGGGCACAGGCCTGGCTGAGGGACCCCCTCTCCATCAAGTGCACAAATCTAGTGCACTGGGCCTCTAGCACTAGTATAAAGGGCAGAAATGAGTGCTTGAGTTGAACCCATGGATCTAATAAACAATTCCTTTGAAACAGTACCTTACACACTGTTTAAAGTTTAAAACCCTACCCCACTCCATTTGTTTATATAGCTATCAGTAGTTCCTCCATTTTGTGGTAAAATTTTCAAGTCACGCAAAGGAAAGCCCCCTGTGGTTAAAAGATTCCTAAAACTCATACAGAGCGACTAAGATCACTATTAGTTCAAAACTGGGTTGCATCACATCTTAAAAAATCACAAGGCCAGGAGAGCCCAGCCCAAGTGGTAAGGAATCCCCTTTATTGAAAAACTTTTAGCTTCTACTTCCTTTAATTAAAATTTAAGACTTACCACAATCAACCAACACAAATTCATGGCCAGGACACACACTGTGCACCTGGCATGCTTTGGAAAAGGTACGGGG